GTCAGTCAGCACGACGCTGTGGCCTGGAGGCAGTGCCAAGCCTCATGACTCGCGGAGTTTTCTTTTATCCTCAAGTTTTCCTGGCTGAAGGCGCACTGACAGCTATGAGAATAACACACACGTGTTCGGCATCTTAAAAATCAGATGTCTGCATGGAGAGAAATTGTGGTTCTGGTCCTGTGTGTGTGTGTCCGCACGCGCGCGTGTGTGTGTGTGCACGGGTCAATTTTCAGAGTGGGGGCAGGCGAGAGTGACAAGCAGGCACCAAATATGGAAGCTATGCAATGGATTCACTACTTTTTAATATACTTTTCATGAGCTAAGTGTCCAAATGATCACCCCTAACCAAGTGGTCCCTTTGTGAGCTCTCTTTGGGAATGTATTGCTTGAAATTACCTAAATTAATTCAAACTCCGGGTGGACTTGATTTTTGCACGTGGTTTGGTGACAAGACCAGCCATCAGTCTGCCGGGCACTGTTTTGTATAAAGCACGAGAAGTGACTGTAATGAAAAGAATCGCCTTCTGTGGATCTTACACTGACCCTCAATTCTTATTCCCCCTCTTCAGGCCACCTTCCGTGTCGCTGGCAGAGTTCCCTGCTCAAAACACAGAGCTGATGCCACTTAACTGCTTGAAAATTCAATGGCTTCTCATTACTTTCAAAATGCAAGCCAAGCTCCTGTGCTCTGCAGTTGGGGCAGAAAGCTATGGGCAATGGAGTCAGGCCAGCATGGGTTTAGACCTCACCTCTGTGTCTTCGGGCAAATGATCCAAATTATCTTGCCCTCAGTCGTAAAAACAGGGCTAACAACACCTACTTTGTTAGCTTGTTTTGAGGACAATAGAATTTCTAAGGGGTACAAAGTAGTAAACTCAGTAAATGGCACTTATTCTTCCTCATGTCATTCAACGCTTGCTTTGATCCAGCGGCAACCAGTCTGGGGAGAAGCTTCAGGTCTCGACACACCCCAGGTTTCCCACGGAGACACACAGGCTCCATGCAGCTGTATTTGCCTGCCTGCGATTCCTTAGACAGCTTCTCTGCTCCTTTGCTTTGCTGGTATCATCGCTCCCTTTTTAGTGTCTCTTTCTCTGCCTCCTCTCTGCCAAATACTATGTAATACACCATCACCTCAGTGAATGTTTATGATTTCTGCAAACAGGACTTCGTGGTAGTCGGGTTGTGCGTTTCTTGGGTGGGAAACTGTCTTCCAATTCAGCTTAGAAGCTCCCACCAAGCCCCAGCAAGGTGCCTGGTTCAGAACAGCCACCTAGTAAATGTCTGCTAAAAGAATTCCAAGAGAAACTTTTTTTTACTAGTACTACTTTTTTTTTTAATTAAATCAATGCTGCTTCTTACTAGAGAGTCCACTTTGAGGGATCACACTCATCTCCACGTACAATGTCAAGTCCTCGTGTGTTCCACGAGCACTCTCATTTCTTTGGATCCTCATCTAAGATATTTTCAAGTGTTAGCTGGTAGAGATGAGGAAGAGGAAGCAGATGAAGGCCATACAGATGCTGATGATACAGTAAAATTCAGCAGCCATTTGGTTTTTGAATGAAGTATGAATTACCTACAGGAAGAGCACACATCTTAGATGTAAGCTCTGTGAATTTTCACCAGCACTCGGACCAAGATTTAGAACACCGTTTGATGTTAAACAGTATTTCTATCTTGAAAGATCTCTAAAATCCCTTCTCTCCTTCTAACTCCTGCCCCGCTGCCGTGTCTGAGCCCAATCACTTGCTAATCAGTCTCCTTCCCCATTCCCCGACCCGCTCAGTGGCTGGCTTCTGGCAAACACTCAAATAATTAAATAAATGAATGAGTGAGTGAGTGAATGAGTGAATGAATGAACGGACGGACGGATGGACGGAATACACGGATAGTGTTAAATGGAGGAGGACCAGTTTGGAGGGCCCGGGAGGTCTATAGGGTTGTGCCCAAGCGACTGGAGTAGATAATTCTACTTTGCCTACATCAGTTCAGGTTCCGGAGTTAAAGGATAGCTACTGGGAATTCAAAGGTAAGATTTTCTTTTTTCTTTCTTTTTCTTTTCTTCCCCCCTCTGCAAAGAGTTTCAAACGGAGACTGAGGGCATGGAAAGTTTGAGCCGCAGGCGGGTCTCGGGCCCACCGCCCGCGCCACTCCCAGGCCCAGCTGGCTCCGCCTCCCCCAAAAGCGCTACGGGAGAGAGACGCCCCCTCCGCCGCAGTTCTGTCCGCTGGGGGCCATCTATCACTGTCTGGGTGCGAGCCAATCGGACCAGCTCTGCCTTCCTGCCAGCCAATGACCGGAAAGCAGGGGGCGCGCGGTGTCAGAGAAGGGGGGGGGGGGTGGCCGGCTCGGGGTGGTATAAAGGGGATCTGAGCGCCTGGCGGTACTAGTTCTGTGCCCCTCACCCGGTGTAGGTGTGGGTATCGTCCCCCCTTTAACCAGGGCCCCGGGGCCAGTGCTTCCACGTACGCCCTCTGTCTAGACCCAGGCCCGCGAGGTCTGCGTTTCTGACCGTCCTGGGTACACATCAGCAGGAGGAAAGGGAGTTCCCGAAAGCTCCTTTCCCCACGTATGCTCAAGACCCTCTTGGTCGCCCACGAGGGCAAGGGGAAGAGGGATGCAGACAGACAGAGAGAGGCCCTGGGGCGGAATGCCGGCCCCGATGGCCACTCGCGCCGGGAACCGCCGGCTGCCCTTCCCAAAACCCGGTCCTGGGCAGACGGCGCCGGGCCCACCCGGTGCTCCGCGCTTCCCTCCGCGCCTCCCTCCGCGCCGGTCGGCTCGCGCTGGTGGCAGCGTAAATTAGGCCGTCTGAGCACAGCCGGTGCCAGCGGTCAGAGCTGTAGGCAGACGCCCAGGCCCGCCGTCCTGGTGGCTCCGCGGGGCTACAGGCGCCGAGAGGAGGCCGGGGACACTACGGAGTCTCTGCTTTTGCCCCCAAAGTCTTTTGCAAAGACCTGGGCGGGTCTTGCAAACTGGGGCTCTCCAGGAAACAGCACTGTCCCTCCGTGCCAGCCTTCTCGGCTTCTCCCGCAGTTCTGCGCAGCCCTTTTTGCGATGTCCTCTTTCCCGCTGCAGGCGTGGGTCGGCTGCTTTGTAGCAACTTCCTCCCCATGGTTCTTTAGCTGCAGCGAGCGAGGACACCTTTCTGGTCACTTCTGTGCATTGCCATGCCCGCTCGGCTCATTGCTCTTTACCCAGAACAGTCCCTGTGTGGGTGAGGGGTGAGGGACGGCTCCAGAGCAGGGGTGCGAGAAAGCCTCCTCCAAGCCCTGCTCTAGGGAAACTGCTGCAAACACTTGAACCTTTCAGAGCCTCGGTGTGCCCCTCCGCGAAGTGGGGATAGGATCGCATAGTCCACGGGATTCAATGAGCCAGTTTGTGGAAACCACGGGCCTTCAAATTCTTGTTCCTACACAGTTGGAATTGCAGGCCCGGGTAGGACGCCACTAGATTGCTAGGAAGCGAATTTGCCCTTCCCGTCCTTGAGGTCTTTCAGAGGCGGTGGATGGAGCCGGATGAGGTCTCATGTTTGCCAAAGTATTTCTGGAGAATTTTTCATTTCCCGTCTCCACACTGGCCCCTGAACTCTACAGCATTTAATTGCATACTCTGTTCCCTTTTAGAGTTGCCTTTTTGCATTATTTACTGGAAACGATTATGTACACGGTGTTTACAATGTATATGTTTACATTGTATGTATATGTTACATTATATGTATATGTTACGATGTATATGTTTACATAATTATATCTTTATCGTTTTCTCTAATTACGGAAGTACTCACGCCCATTATAAATATCCAATCTAAGAGAGTTTTATAACGGAGGACGTGAAACCCTCAAGGTTTCAATTAACACAGGGCTCGCCACTTTCTTACCATAGCGGCTGGCGCGGAACTCGCAGGGCGGGTCAAGCAAGCTGATTGCTAGTGTGGCGCTCTCAGTCCTCGGCGTAGGAGCCCACCACTGTCAGGCAGGAGCAGGGGTCGGTTCCGCCCTGAGAGGTGGAGTGAGTCAGGAGTACGGGACCCAGAGGGAGCGCGTTTCCCTCCTTTCCCTCCAGGTGGCGCTACAGGATTGCGGATGCGGTCCTGGGGCGGAGCTCCCAGCTTGGGCGCCAGCGAGGGGCGGTGCCGGGACGGGACGTGGACTGGCGGCTTCAGTTAACAAGGTATCCAAGGGAAACACGTTCTCCGGGAAATGAACGCTAGACACTCCGGGAATTTAAGTACATAGACGCAGAAAGTGTACGCGTCAGAGAAAGAATGGGAGAAACAGGGGGTTCTGGGACGGAGACAGAAAAGAGGAGTCGCGTCTCCCAGAAAGTCACTCCATCCTTCTCGTTTGCCGCCGATGTCTCTCCCCTCCCTTCTCTCCCACCGGACCTGCAATTCTTCACACCCTCTGGAGTGCACTGGGGGCTCTGGACACAAATGCACGGGGGCTGGGGATGGTGCTGGCTGATGCTTCCTCGCCCCCAGCATCCGGTCCCAGCTTTGACAAGCTTGCGGGGCTCTAGTGCCCAAGGTATGTGCCAGTATAGGAATTCCGCAGTCCCAGCCATGCCAAGAAAAACGGGCGTGCTGTTCCTCAGTTTGTCCAGAGGAAGCCTTACGCCCTTCCCTTCTGGAGGCTGGTAATAGGAAAATGACTCAAAGAATCCCCAGCGGGTCCACCGGGTGTGCGCCTTCTTTTGTCTCCTTTTCCTGAACATGCACCATTCCTCCTGTTACTACCCTTTTACTGTATCACACAATCATAGTGTCACATATGGGCCCGGGGGGTATTCGTGTCACACCCCCTCACTATGTTAAATTGTCCCCTTTCCCTTGACCCACCTCTCTCCAGTCTCACAACCACTGGGATACGCCCTGGTGAGGGGCAGCCTAAGGGCAAGGCACAGAAAGTGCAGGGGCCCTTAGCAGAACACACACACACACACACACACACACACACACACACACACACACCAGGCCAACAGAGAAGGAGACCATGACAGGGGACAGCAGGTTTATTTGGGCTCTGGGGTCGGGGATGCCTGAGGTCTGAGTTAAGGCGGCTCAGCTGGGTCTCAAAGCCCGAGGGGCAGGCCAGGGCAATGAGGAGGGGTGACTCAGTGCTAAAGCCAAATCTCTTCATTTCGGAGTCCCCAGCCAGAAGCTTCAGGAGTCAGTTCTGGGAGGGCCTGGGGATACAGAAGGGTGTCTTCTGTTCCCTGGGGTCTTTGAGTTGTTTGCCAGGATCACGGAAATTATCTGGGGGAGGGAGCCTCAAATGCACAGCTTTCATTTCAGTAACGACCATTTAATTTGTTCCTTGGCAGACTGAAGAACCTGGAGGTGGGAGGAAGGATGAGAGAATTTGGGAGCGTGTCAAGTACCTCCCTACCGCAGTGAGAGGGAGGTCTACAGCCCACCTTCCTTATGTGTCCCTGCAACTCCCGGTCACTAGGTGGCAGCAGCTCATCTCTGCCTGACTTCAGCTGGGTCAGGCCAGCCGGAGAAAGAGCAGTCCAAACTGGCTGCAGCCAGCTCCCAGCCCAGGCCCAGACCTGCCCAGCCCTCTGCTGGTGTCTGCATCCGCAGCGGTGGGTGTTGCCCGAGGCCCGGCTTTCCCATACCCTGTCGTGCTAGCTGCCGCCCACAGTGCCACGTCCAGGCAGGAACTGGGGCCAGGCCTGACACTTCTGAGCCCAGACACCTCAGCAAAACTCTAGGGCTGGCTCTGGCTGGCAGTGTGTCTGCCCTCCACGCCCCACCCCAACCCACTGCTGATGTGGCACAGCTGGCAGAGGGGGGCTGGCCACAGGCTGCCTCGGGACACCTGCACTCAGATTGTTCATCGAGTCCCCTGCAGCTGAGAAAACAGGCTCATTCGGTGCTTATGCAAATCCCCACAAATGTGCACACACGGAGGTTGTCTGTCCCTCCAGCCACCAAGCCTCACTGCCTTTGGAAGGTTCATCCCAAACTGTCTGTCCCTTCTTTCTGCACAGCCTCCCTTCCTCTCTCAGGGACCGCCTGGCCCTGGGGGTTCTCCTGCTTCTGGCCAGACCCTAACCTCCTCCTTGTTTCATCTCCCACTCACTCCCTGCACCTTCCCTGGTTTTTACTCAATCATTCCATTGAAAGTGCTGCATCTTCATTCTTCCCCCCACTCCCTGGAAAAATAGGAGCAAAGGGTTTTTGAGCACGTGTTAGCTCATCTGATGCTCCTAATAACTCCGTGAGGAGCGCGCCGTGATCACGTGAGGCCCGGAGAGGCTGAGGGGCTTGCCCAGGTCACCCAGATTCTAGGGGGTAGAATGGAACAGACACACTGGGGTGACTCACGCCAGCGCCCATGTTCTTATCCACTCTGCCCATGCTCCCTAACCTCTTTGGGTCAGAAAACTGCCACGGGGCTGCGCTCCTCCCAGCAGGTGTGAGGGGGCCTGGGGACCCAGGAGGAGGGAGTGCAGGGTGGGCACCAAGGGCAGTGACAGGAAGGTGGGCGCCACACCTGGGGCTCCACACGGGACATTATGCACCCATCTCGGCCTGGGCCACCACAGCAGGAGGTGGTTAGTGCCAGGGCAGGAAGCTCCGTAAACTCAGGATTAGTCTGTGCAGGGAGACCTGAGGGCGGACAGAACAGAGGGCAAGTGGTCAGCCTGACGAGCAGGAAGTTTGCGCAGCTGGGAACCAGTCCAGCCGCAGATCCAGGGACCTCCCCCTGGCCCCACATGCACCCCCAGACAGGACCATGCACCCCAGACAGGACCATGCACCCCCAGACAGGACCATGCACCCCCAGACAGGACCATGCACCCCCAGACAGGACCATGCGGGGGCCTTTTCCTCAGCCAGGTCACTCAGGGGTTAGGTGGCAAGTGAGGCGGGGAGAAAGTTAGATGCTATCACAGGCTTCAAGTTCCCTTAACAATTCCAGCTTGGACCTCGGCGTGGAGGGGCAAGGGTTTGGAGGAGAACTCCTGTTTGCCATCCTTTCCGGGCTAGGGGGAGAATCGGGGACTCGAGTCCTCGGATTGTGTTAGGGCACAAGTGACTCAGCCATCTCTAGGGTGGGCAGCTTACTACCCCAGGGGTTCAGCCTAACAATACTGAGCCAGGAGAGGAGGTGGTTACCAGTGAGGACTGGGCATCAATTATTAATGCCCAGCTCAGCACCACCTCAGCGTCACTAGAGGCCCCCTGTGACTGTCCCCAACAGATGGCCTGTCACTGCCTCATCCCCCCCACACCCTGACCTCTCAGCCTTGATAGCCCCCGCTGGGTCCCCTGGGAGGCTCCGCTCTCCTCCCTGGAGTCTGAGGCAGATGTTGGGGACCTACCTGAGCCACGCTCTGTTCAGTCAAGCCGCTGTCATCTGCCTGTGGGGAAGCAGTGTCATAGGGTGGTCAGGTCCGGATGATAGGACTGAGTTTGGAAAGGGAGACGGAGGGGCTCGGGGTGGTGGCGAGCGATGCAGTGGTTTAGGAGGATCCAGGACCAGACCTGTATCGCCCGTTAGTGGACGCCAGGACCCGCGCCCCCCCGCATCTATGATGCATGGAGAGTAAGGGAATGAAGTTGGTAGAAAAGGTTTCATTCCAACAGGAAAGCCAAACTAGGCAGGGTGGTTCTATCTGGAGCCCCACTCCCCAAGCTCAAGGCCAAGGCAGCCACCTGGTGTCTCTTTGAGAGTTTATTTCTCCAGTCTGTACTTCCCACCAGGGAGGGTGGTGAGGTGCTTGGGGCTTCTACAGGGGAAGAGGGCAGGAGGTATCTTCTACTAACAGCCACGCCCCGAACTGCCACGCCCCCCACGAGTGCATTGCCGGGGGAGTTGCTTCTGCTGGAGGACCAGCGGCCCCATGCACAGGGAGGACGGACAGCGGGCGAGGAGGACGGCGAGGGCAGCCTAGAGGAGAGGAGGGGGCATGGGGGAAGGCTCTTACCCTAAAATTCACTTTCTGGATCACCTGCTGGGGGTCACTCTCCAGAATCACGCTGCAAGATGAGAGAGAAACCGGAAGGAAAGTCGGTGACATGATTCTCCCCTCTGCCACCGCTCCGTGCGAAGGCCTCTCCCCTCAGCCGCCGTACCCTGCAACATCCCCCTCGGGGCTCCTTCCCTCTGGAGCTCCTCCAGCCAGGACTCTCCCTACACTCCCCCGGCTCTGGCGCCTCTACATTTCAAACCTGGTGGTCTCACGCTTGGTTGTCTCTGGGCAAAAGCTGTGAAATCGAGGGAGTCCAGTCCAGGACAATTGGGGTGTCAAAAGCAGGGGCTCAAAAACCGGGTGCTCTCAAAAGTCCGCGGTCCCTTCTGGGTCAGGGATGGGTTCAGACGCAGCGAGGGAAGGGAGGTGCCTTGGGGTCTCTAGCTGAGCTGACTTCACTATTAGTCTATGCCATAGACGAAAGAAATGGAACTCTAAAAATCAGAATCTATCTTCCCGTTTGATGAACCCAGATATCAAGACTTTTTTCAGCTAGCCGCACTCTTGCACGGTGTCTTGGGGTGCTGTGTGGCCATTTGCCGGGGGTATGTGTGGGTGCGGGTGGGAGGGCCTCTTTGTGGGAGGCACAGCAGCCACAGGGACTGGGTGAGGCTCCTCCCCCTGTGAGGCTCCGCCCCCTACCCCACCTTGAGGCTCCTCCAGGGCAGAAGCCTAGCTGTATCTCTGTACCAGCTCTGGGGAGTGAGGAAACATTTCCTGGGCGCCTTCTCCAGTTCTCCAGGCCCTATTCCTGGGGCACCCCCAGTCCCGGGTTCCCTCACCAGAGGTCTTTCCTCCGCAAAGACAGAAGCACCCCAGGCCAATGCTCTGATTGAGGCCATTGACTTGGCTGACAATTCCCTGATTTTCCTGGGAGGGAAACTGAGGGCTACTGGAGGGGCAGAAACTGGGCCTGCTGGGGACACAGACCCAGAACCCCACAAAGCGTATGCCCTCCCTTGCCCGGGCCCTTCCCGGGCCCCGCCCCTCACTTTGTGGTTCTGTGTGTGGGCTTTCCGTAAAGAGGTTCCACCCAATGGGATGTCCTTCTGGCTCCACACAACCTGGGCTTACTCCACTCTCTTTCGGGGGCCCGGGAAACAGCCCCAGGCCTTGCAGGAGCAGGCAGTCAACAGGGAGAGAAGGGGGAGGAATTCCACCACCCAACGTCCCAGAGCAGCCTGGTCCCTGGGCACATGGCACGGTGGTGTGGAACCGGGCCTGTGGCTTTGGCTCTTGGCCCTGCCGTGTGGCCTTGGGCAAGTCACTTGATCTCTGAGTCTCTGTTTCCTCACCTCTACAATGGGTGTAATGATAAAGGAGCGTGGATGTTTTTAAGATGATCAGTTTCTACTATTCTTTGCTCTACAGCCGGCCGGAACGTCTTTTTCTCCCCAACTACTGCCCCCCATGGAAATTCCCTAACCAACCCTTGTCAAAAGGGCACCCAGCTTCCAAGGACATAATGGCACCCCAATAGCAGGTGATACTTGTTGAAGGAGAATCAGGGGCTTCACTAGCATCCCCTTATTTCCTCCCCGCCCCCTGCGACATAGTTCCTTTACATCCCCATTTGAAAGATGGGGAGAGTGAGTAAGTGACTGGCCCAGGGCACGCGTCTAGCCGACACGTGCCCTGACCAGGAATGGAGCTCTGTGAGTGGGAGGCGTGGACGCGGCAGGGCTCTGCCAGGATGAAGCCCTTCTAGGGAGGGGCGGGTGTCTGCTGCCTGCTTCTCCCGGGCCCTGGAGAGCACACCACTCCCCCCTGAACCCTGCCTCTTCCACAGTCAGCCACAGTTGGATGTCGGATTCCTTTCTTGTTTGCTTGACTTTGGCTAATGCGGACACCAACCTCCATCCTTGTGAGTGGGGTTGGGGGGATGAGATCACCGGGGATATGCTGGGGGAAGGGAGGGAGGAGTCGGCCCGAGAGAGCCAGCAGTGTGCTGGGTGCAATCTAGAGCGAGTGACCTTCAAAGAAAGGCACCTCCCACCGTGAGTCTCCCTGACCACCTGCTCCTCACCCGCCATCCACAATCTCGTCCAGCACCAGGAAGGCTCCGTCCATGTTCTCCAGCAGCCAGCGCTTCTCCACGTTCTTCCTGAAGGGGACACGGCTCCTGAGCCTCCCCTGGCCGGGAGGAGCCAGGCCCCTGCCCAGGTGAGACAGGCCCCCCTCTCTACCTATACCTTGCCACACCCCCAACAAGCAATGGGAAGGACAATGTCAAGGGCAGTGAGGGCAGGGCCTGGGCTAGGGACTCCTAAGCAGAGCACAGGCCTGCTTCCTGAAGCGCTCCTTGCCCAAGTTCCCACCCTTGGGGTGTAGACACGGTGCCCCCCATGGTACCCCTAGTGCATCTCACAGCTGATTTCGATGCTATAGCTCTACTATAGTCAGTTGTGTGGACCGGGGAATTTATTTATTCTTGGATTATCCTAGTTTGGTTTCCCCAGGTCATGCTCACTGGAGTAGACACCAGATAACAGAATGGGGGTCCAATGAAAACCACCCCGAGCCTCAAGTCAGAAAGCCTGAGTTTGAGTCTCTCTTCTCATATAAACCATCTGCAACCTCAGGCAAGTCCTTTAGCTTCTCCAGGCCCCGTTTTCTGGACGCACCCTCACGGGGCTCTGCTCTGGGCAGTACCATGGTGGTTAGGTAACGGCAGAGGCCTTGCGGGGGATGCTCCGGCTCCAGCCTTAGTGTTGTAGGGACTTCGGGACAAAAGCAGGGAGGAAAGGCCCTGCCTCTTTGACCTAAGAAGGCACGGGGGTGGGGGCCTTGAAAGGCGGAGAACCTCACTCACCTTAACATGTGGTTCAGGGACTCAAACAGGCAGGTGAGAACGGACATGAGCATCAGCTGGGGGAGGGCAGGCGCGGGAGGAGAATGAGAGAGCGTGAGGCTGGGAAGGCCGGAAGGAGACCTCAGAGTCTACCTGAAGGGAAACTTGTCCCTTTCTGGGACAACAAGGCTGGAGCCCGGCTGCAGCTCGCCCTTGGAGAATGCCTCCTGTGTACAGGCGGGAAGCACAAGAGCGCCCCACTGTGGGACACGGAGTGTACCCTTCTGTAGAGATGATTTAAAAAGAAATAGCCCTGGCTCGTGTGGCTCAGTGGACTGAGTATGGGCCTGCGAACCAAAGGGTCGCCGGTTCGATTCCCAGTTAGGGCGCATGCCTGGGTTGCAGGCCAGGTCCCCGGTGGGGAGCATGTGGGGGAAGCCACACATTGATGTTTCTCTCCCTCTCTTTTTCCTTCCCTTCCCCCTCTCTAAAAATAAATAAATAAATTGAAAGAAAGAAATAGAGGCTCCTGCAGAGAGTGTCATTGCTTGTTCCTAAGGAACCTAAGGGGCATGGTGGGTATGCCTTGTCCCAGAAAGAACCACTGTGGCTGCTGACCGACCCCCAGGGTCTAGAAGAAGGGGGACCAATGGGACCTACTGATGCCCTCCCTTGTACGGCCCTTCCGGGGCCCTGCCCCTCACTTTGTGCCGGTGTGTGTCCTTTCCATAAAGAGGTTCCACCAAATGGGATGTCCTCTGGTTCTACAAAACCTGGACTGACTCCACTCCCTTTTGGGTCCCAGGAACCAGCACTGGAACCCAGCTTCCACCCCAGACTCCAAGCCATTCCGCCCACGAACAGACCCTCTTTGTCACCCCAACCCCTGAATTCACCTCGTTCTCGTAGGACGAGCCCACCACATACAGGAAGAGGTCAATGCTGCTCTTGTAGACGATGGTCATGCCCCCGAAAAACGCGATCTCACCTAGAAGTTGGGGCGGGGGACGTTCAGCTCTGGCCGCCCCAGCTTGGCCCCTCCTCCCCATCTCCAGCTCTGCACCTCTCCCTCCCTGCTTCCCTCTTCCCTGCCCAGGGAACCCTCGGTAAGGCTAGCACTGGGGACACCACCAGGGCTACTCTCTGTCCTTCCCCCCACCCTTTTTTTCTAGCAACTACCTCGTTCTGATGAATCAACAAACCCAGTTCAAGGTCGACCTTCCACGCCCCTCCCACCATGTGCAATGCCTTGGACCAGCCCCACAGCTCAGCTGGCCTCTTCCCCCGGGAGGGGTCCAGGTGTGCTGGGGGTGGGAGGTGTGAGCGGCATGGGGTGGGGGGTTCCCTGGAGGTAGAGATGAACAGCTAGGCAGGGCAAAAAGAGCCTCCGAAGAAAAGGAAGTGGCCTGTGGGCGTCCAGGGCCGTCGGGGACAGACATGGCCAGACGGAGAAGGGGACAGTGAGTGTCTGAGAGCGCCGGGTGAGGAAGAGGAGGACACTTACTGTCCGTCCGGCTGGTCTTATTGAAGACATTTTTCTCGAAGGCCATCTGCTCCTTCATGGAGGGAAACGTGTCATCATAATACTACGAGAAAGGGAAGGAGAAGGGGTGAGAGCCGTCCCACAGGGTGTGGGCGCTCCAGGCGCGGGTGGCAGGCAGCGGCGGGCGCCGGCCCACGGTCCCATCTCACTGCCCTCCAGGCCCGACAGCTCACACTGTTCCCCGGGAACACCAGTTCTAAGCCAAGAAAGTAGTAAAAAGTGGAGACACTTTGAGGCCTATTTTTGAAGTCGTCTCCGATGCCTGGAGGTGTTTGGACACTGAGCAAACGTGCGGCGTGCTGAGGACTGGGGCGGCCACCAAGTCGTCACCCAGAGTCCACGTGAGCCTGAGTCTGCTGGAAGGAGGGCAGAGCCCGGGGGGCCTGCAGCAGAACAGTAACAATCCTGGCAGCCACTTCATCCTCCCCATTGTACTGATGGGCGCTGAGGTGCGAAAGGTCTGGGGAACTTCCCTGACACCTCCCAGCTGGAGAGGCGGAACTGGGACTCAACGCCCAGGACAGCCGACTGGCCGACTTCCGACTCCGGCAGGGCGATGTGAGGATGACACATCTAAGGAAACGTTCCCGGCATACATTGCACGATGAAATTGGCGCCGTTTTGCCTGGGTTTCGTGAGCCTCTCTCCCTGACTCCATTTCTTAACCTGAACATGGATGTGCCCTTCTGGGAGGAGGTCCTAAAACCTCTGGCATTGCCAGTCTACCTCTGGGGAAAGGTGTGGTGAGGCAGGGTGTGGTGAGGTCGGCTTTCAATTTTCTGGATGTGGATTATCCTACTTAGTACCCAACTGTGGGCAAACTGTCTCCCTGCTGACCACTACAGGCATGAAGACAAAAAGTTTCAGCCCCAAACAAACACGGTAATGTATTTCATAGCTAGTTTACATGCTGTATCCCTACTACAGTTAGTCGTACTGATGGGTGACAGTCACTTTTGGGTTATCCTGCTTTGGTTTCCCCAGGCCATGGTCACTGGGACAGATGCCAGGGGACTGACGCGTTCGTGCGGTGACAGCCATCCTCCTGAGCTCCGAAGCAAAATACCTGAGCTCAGCCCTCTGTTCTGATGTTGATACTCGTGAGCCCAGGCACCTCACGTAGCTTCTCTAGACTGAGTTTTCCTCATTTGTGAGAGTCGAACTGTGCATGTGGACTCTAAAGCCCCGACCGGTGCTAAGTTACGAGACTCTTCAGACTAAATCCTGAGTGTTTACTAAGCTGTGGGAGAAAAGTACAGGTTGCTTGTTTAAAATGTGGGGACTAGAATTCCTGGGCCCCAGGCTGAACACGCCATTGACCCCAGAGAGTTCCTGTCCGAGCTCAGGGCCCAGCTGGCCACTTGAAAGGATGACGAAAAGACAGTTCAGGGGACAGGATTAGAGACTGCGAGGCGCCCTCCCCCAACCAGGGTCCAGCCATCTGATGAGGCAGGAGGATGGACACAGTGACCCTTGGAGGGTCTAAGCTGAGCTGCTCTGAGGCACAGAGCCCGCAGTGGGGGTCTCTCCTGAGACAGGAGTCAGCTGGGTGGGGGCTTCTGTTCTCGGGCACTAACACAGTTTTCAGGGGCCCTCGGGTGAGGGTGGGAGGTTACCTTGGCCAGCAGGCGGTGTCCGTCATTATCTAGGATGAAAACAGCCTTGATGGTGTAGAGAGAAGGCTCCTGCAACTGACACGGGGTGGGGTGGGGGAGTCCATTGGCCCCTGACTCAAGGCAAATACCCTGTCATTGACCTTATGGGATCTGCTGGCCCTAGGAGTCCACGATCAGGGTCCAGCGAACCCAGCCCCAAAGGTTCATAGCTGGTTCTTGCCCAACCCTGTGCCACATGGGCTGCCTCCTGTCCTGCCCCCCGCAGATGTTCCACTGCAGGCCCCTGGCGGGCGCGCTGCACGGTGAGTGCGGAAGGTCCGCCCGGGCCCAAGTTCTGTCATGCACTGACTGCCGCAGAGCCCGAGTCGGAGTGTATCACAGAACCTGGGCCGGGGGGACAGCGGTGTGCCTCCTCCTTCCAGCGGAGCTCGGGGCGAGGCTGGCCTCACTCTCGGAGCGCGCCCCCAGCCCCCTGGCGCGGGCGGGCTCCGAAGCACGCACATCCGCCCACCGGCCCTCCGAGCACCTTCCCCCTCCCTGCAGAATCTCAGTCCACCCCACCCCCAAGCCGTCTCCATCGCTGCTCTGAACTGATCCAGAACTTCAGCCCCACGCGGACTTTCAGGACAGGCCTCCTGGAGAGTCCACGCCCGCGGGAACTTTTTCTCGCCGGCCCGGCCCGGGCCCCTCCCAGCGCTGCTCAGTGGTGGCACCAAGTTCCCGGCGCCAGGCGTGCGAGTTGTGAGTTGGCTGCCCCCGCTCTACCCCACCCCGGCCCCGATTCCTGCCCCCCGGACCCTGGCGCCCGCCCGCCTGCTCCGTACCCGCGACCCCGCGGGCTCCCCGGCTCGGGCGGGCGGTGCCGCGCCCCCGGCCTGGGCGGCCGCGGCCCCCTCCCCCGGGTGCGGACGTGGCCAGGCCTCGGGCCGCTGCATTCCGCTCGCCGCCCTGCGCTGACAGCGCCTCCCGCCGCCCCGCCCCCGAGCCCGCCCGGCCCACCGGGCCGCCCCCCACCCCCCCCGGAGGCCACCGCCCTCCCTCCCCCCCCGCTCTGTGCCTGCCTTTCCTTTTCCCTGAGGCCCTTTCCTCTTTCTCGCCCTCCCTCCTTTCCCTTACCCCCCTCCCCCTGTGCCCCACACCCCAGCTCTCCTTCCCCCAACTCTCATTTCTCTCCTTCTCGGCTCCTTTCCCCTCTTGAAAGTCCTTTCTCCGTCTGTCCCAGACCAGCCCCCTCTCCGTCCCCTCCTGCCTCCTTTCTGGCCTGTGGGTTTGTTTGCACCCGTGTCCAAAGGCTATCCTGGGGACAGCAGAAAACACAGCAAAGTCCGGTTTTGTCTCTTTACTGCTAGGTGCTGGGCGGACAAATACAATCGGGTTTCAGGGACGGTGACAGCGGTGGGAGCAAGGGAGGACAGCTCTGGAGAGACCCTCCGTTCCTGACAGGTTCTCCCACGCCTTCCACTTCCTCCCAGGAAGCCCATGGTTCCTGGGGACCCTCTGCAGTCTCCCAAGACACAGGACACAACCTAAAGCAAGACAGACAGACGCCTAGCAGCACCGATGCTCCACACCAATGGCATCAGGCTTTGCCACACTTCGGCTTCTTGGGTTGAAGCGATACCAGAACACATGCTTCCCCTTCAGGGTCCTCAGGGCCAGTGGGAAACTCACACTCCAACGCTCCAGAGTGAACAGTGCTTACCCATTTCCTCTTAAAACCGCCAGGCGTGTATTTTGCACTCAGTTTCACATGCATTACCTAATATACCCACACCTGTGAGGGAGGTGTTTCCACCCCCATTTTAAGGGAAGGGAGGCTCAGACCTTTTCCGGATTGTGCAGCTGATAAACAGCCGAGGGAGATAGCATCCAAGGTTCAGGCTGGACATTTCCCCCGTGCTTCGGTTCAAGGCCTGCTGTGCGGGGCGCCAGCGGCACTGGCCGCAGAGGGCTGGCGAACGGGGCCTCCCTCCGCGGCGCGGGTCCGGTCTTCCCGTTCTTCAAGTCCCCACTTCGGTGTCGTCACCAAAAGACCGTCTCTGACGTCCTCCAAACGGTCTCTCCTGCCACATTCTCTAACTCAGCACCCTGCTTATTTCTTACATCGCCCTTTTCTCAATCTCTAAATATTATTTTTACGAATTTGTTTACAGATGTGTAGGATCCTTCTCCTCACCAGAGGCTGAGTCCTCTGAGAACAGAAATGACGTCTATAGTGTTCACGGTGGAGTTCCTGCCCCCCGCCCCCCACCCCCACCCAGGGCCCAACGCAGGACAGGTACTTAATAAGCATTTGAGGAGGAGGTGAATGAGTAAATGAATTTAGGATGAAGGAGAGCGTGTGTAAATACTCAGACGACCTATTTTAAACAAAGAATTGAAATGTACTTATCAATGAAACCATATTTTGTGTTCTGTACAAGTACTTATGGAGTGCTTGATGAGTCCCTGGGCTTCGAGAGTGGAAAAAACAAACAGAGTCTTTTTGCTCTCGTGGAGTTTAGATTCAAATGTTGCTGTTTGTGTGCAAGACAGGAAATAAACAGAGTGGATGTTGCGTAAGTTGTTGGTACGTGCAAGGATGGAGAGTGGAGCGAGACGGGGATGGGGAATGTGAGGGCCGAGGGGAGCAGGGCAGAACGCCGTTCTCCTTGGGGAAAGCCTTCAAGAAGGTGGCGTTCAGAGAAAGGGCTGAAGGAGGTGAGGGAGGAAGCCATGCAAACGTCTGGAGAAAACGCCTGAACTTCTTTCCATGCTTTAGAAGGCATACCTGAGTCTTCCTTGCAGGCTGTCAGAGCTGTAACAGTGAACACTCACCGACACTGCTTGGTGCCATGGGGGTTAGGGGAGGGACAGGCAGTGTTTTCTTTGGCTTCCGAGTCATCAGAAGCTATGTCAATGGTCATGCCAGCCTGGTGTGTTATTAAAAACACTGACTTGATTATTTTGATCCCTTAGCACTTCTGTGAGCTGGCCCATTTTTTAATTCATACGTACAGAAAAGCCTCCTAGCTTGTGTGTGGTATATGCGGTACCCACAGGGGGACGGTCAGTTTGCGGAACACGGGAGGGAGGGAGGAAGACCTAGGAAGACAGGGGCCTTAGGGGGCTGGCGTGGCTCGGTGGGGAGAGGCGGGGGAGGCGTCAGCTACAGGAGGAGAAGGTGCTGGAGAGGGGCACAGGGGCTGGCACCAACAGAAGGTCGGGGAAGGAAGCTTAAGGACCACAGAAGCCTTCTCGCCACCACCTCCATCATTTGGCAGCTCTGGTTTTAATCACCAGGACCTCTTTCCATCTTGAGTGCTGTGGCGAATGTCAGTTCAGAGCCCTTGAGTTGAACTTTGCAAGGAAGAGATCCTCCTCGTGGATGGCTGCGCCCTAAACCCCCTCAATAGAGACCCCAGGGCTCCTGTCCTTTCTCAGGACCCCGTCAATGAGGTGCTCCTTCAGTGAGATTCTGTGCGAAAATACAAACTCAGTGTGCATAGTGCTGGGGCAGTGTCATGCGCAGAGCATCAGCTCGGGACTGTACAGTGTCAGCCTGGCAGAACCTGAGCGCGTTCGGGTGGAGCAGGAGAGGAGCAGCCCGGGAGCCTCCCCAGAACGGGGAAGGCAGAGCCGGGTTCAAAAAGAGCGCAGCCTTCCTGTCTCCCTGCTCCCTGCGGGGGGTGTGCGCTGGGATGGGGCGTGCACACCTCTCACCTGGCATCTGTGGAGTGGCTGGGCTCAGAGTCGGGCCTGAAAACACACACGTGTGCTTGCGCACGCACACACTGCCCTTCAGAATCTTTGGGAGGCAAGTGATGCAAATAGGTTCTCCTCTGGACCTTGGTTTATCTCGGAGGTGAGACCATTCTGTTTCCTCTGACTCACCCTCCTGCCACCACATTGCCGCGCTGTCTGTCCTAGGATTTTGGCATCTGTTTTTGTGTGACAAGAAGAAACAGCTCCCTTGGGTAACAGTCTCTCTCTCTCTCCTTCCTGCTATAATGTCAAGAGGGGGAGGTGTGTGCGGAGTGTGGGGCATGGGTGTGTGCTTGTGGTAGCCTCCAGAGAGAAAGCGCAAGCTTCGGGGCGGGTTTCCAGGGGGCCATGCTATGGACGACGGCTCTGCTCTCTTCCACGTGGTCAGCTTCCTCTGGGAGAATGAGGTCCTAGTGTGGGCAGAGAGTCGGGCAAGGAAGGGACCTCAAGCTCAGCTCTGTGCACTAGTGGCTTTACACATAGGATCTGATTTTAATGTTTTTAAATTTATTCTTAACCCTCACCCAAGGATATATCCACTGATTCCAGAAAGAGTGGAAGGGAGATCGAGAGAGTGAAAGAGAAACATGGATATTAGAGGAACATCGATCGGCTGCTCGCTGAACATGCCCCCCCAGGGGACCAAACCCGCAACCTTTCGGTTTACGGAATGACGCTCCAACCAACTCAGCCACGCTGGTCAGGGCCATAGGATCTGGTTTTTAAACTTTGAATATGTATATTGTCATTTTCACCTAACTCAGGAGGCCCCAGCTAGCAAGTGGCAGAGCCAGATTTTTGAACACGGCTCTGAGTCCCAAACACCCACTCTTCCCGCCTCACGGTAGCGCCTCCCTGACTGCCCTGTGCCATGCTGAGAGCTGCACAGAGCAATTCCTCCCACAGTTTGGGACAACATGGTGAGGGCATGCCGGACAGCCGAAGTCAGCCTCATAAAATGTTATGCCAAGACATGAGTGAACAAGGAGGTGCTTTCATTGGCCAGGTCTGGGAAGAGAGCAGTATGGGATTGAGAAATGGTGTATTCTTTTCCAGGTGGTGATGCTCGTGTGTGCTCATGCATTATTACTCCTGTTGTCCTTTTTCATTCAACTGGGATCCCTGCTCCAAGCTAGTGATTCTCTGGCTGTACAGCAGAATCACCAGAGGAGCTTTTACAAAATCCTGATGCCCAGGGCTGCTCTGGGAGACTGATTTAACTGGCCAGGGATGGGACCTGGACATTAATATATTTTTAAGATTTTATTTATTTATTTTTAGAGAGGGAAGGGAGGGAGATAGAGAGAGAGAGAGAGAGAGAGAGAGAGAGAGAGAGAAACATCAATGTGCGGTTGCTGGGGGTCATGGCCTGCAACCCAGGCATGTGCCCTGGCTGGGAATCGAACTTGTGACACTTTGGTTCCCAGCCCGCACTCAATCCACTGAGCTATGCCAGCCAGGCATTAATATTTTTTTAAAAAGCCCCCCCACCAGGTGATTCTAATGTGTAGCAGAGTGGAAAAGCAACCTTCTCAGACAGGTCAGGTACGGGTACACAGAAAGACAGGCTGGCTTGCAGAAGAGCTTTACCTGTTTTGATGGTTTAATGGTAACAAGCTTGCTAATGATGTTTACCATGTAAGAAAGGTGCCAGATGTCTGGATTAGGCGGCAAACTGATTTCCTTGCAAGACACGCTAACGTTTACTATTGATGGGATGTAATCCTAGAATCTCTCCGAAGGGTGTAAGGCAATCTCAGGCAGACATCTAATCCATTCCTCTGGGCTAGATGGAAGCTGGAAAGGGAAAAATAAGGACAACCAAAATAGCAGAGAGATTGCATTTCCCCTTAGGGGAAAAAGCAATTCCCGCTATTCCAGAACAAATCCAGTCCCAGCCAGTCCACCTTCCCACATCCCCTTCTTGGAGGGTTTCCTGGCAGGTGTTGTCTTTGCAGCATGCCTGGAAGACGGCTGTGCTGGCTGGTGCCTCGGCAGCTCTTCCGAAGAGGAAGCTGGGTCAACAGATACAACCAGGACGAGTGGGGACTTCACAGTTAGCCGTCTCCTTTCATGGCCTGGAATGCCTGTGCATTACAGTGAACCCTCTTCCTGGCTCCCCGCAGCTCTCTCTTCTCTCTTGGGCAACCTGGAGCTGCAGGGGCAAGGCCTCGGTTCTGCAAAAGGCTCTCAGCCTCTCCCTCAGGGAGAAAGTGCATGTGCTCACTTTTTCCAATGGTCTTTTTGGTCTGATTTAATGGACACACCAGGATGGATGACACATCAGCATGAGATCTTTCTTTCGCTTCTTAGGTGAACTTCCTATTAACAGCTTGTCCCCGCAAAGGGTGGAGGTGTGGGGGCGGGAGGGAGGAGGGGAGCTCCCTGGGAGGACACACCCGGATTTTGCAAGGTTACTCAGGGGATTCTGGGAAGAAGGTGTGCACCTGCTCCGACTTGATCTGGAACTCCAGACAGAGTGGAAGTCAGTTTTTCTATCTCAGCTCCCGACCTCGGAGCATTCAATGTCCTGGGAGCCCACGCCCTGCCAGGCCCAATGGCCTGCAGCTCGCTGACATTTTCTCTGTATCTGGATAGTAGCCTCCTCAGTCCTCGCAATGGGCCAGCAATTCTTTGTCTTTCCCTTTTTTTTTTAAAGATTTTATTTATTTATTTTTAGAGAGAGGGTAAGGGAGCGAGAAAGAGAGGGGCAGAAGCATCAGTGTGTGGTTGCCTCTCATGTGGCCCCTACAAAGGACCTGGCCTGCAACCCAGGCATGTGCCCTGACTGGGAATCTAACCAGTGACCCTTTGGTTCACAGGCCGACACTCAATCCACTGAGCCACACCAGCCAGGGCTGTCTTTCCCTTTTGTGTAACTGCTAAGCAGTAAACTTTTCTAACACCAATTATCGGGTTCCTTTAACTTGATAATACAGTTCCTGCTACGTCTTTCTCCTTGTACACTGAAATAATTCTTTTACGACTTTAAACACAGTATTGGAAGTGGGGAGGCAGAGGACCCTGAACTGGGCAAAAACAAAAGACCTCTCCACCCCACCTCTAAGAATTAACATAAAGCGCCCTCCCCCCAACTTTCCCAGTGCCTGCCACTCCCTCCACACCCGGGACCCCCGCCCCCCCCCCCCCAAAATGAGGAAGGAAAGGGGAGGACGGGTAAGAATGCTACCTCAAGAAACTGAGTCATCAGGGAGAGGCGGGTGGGTAGAGGTAGAAGGGGGTGTAACTGTTCATGGGAAAAAATACAATAAAAATAAACTATTAACAAAAAGGAACTGTCCCCTGGCTGGAGTGGCTCAGTGGACTGAGCGTGGGCTGCGAACCAAAGTGTCGCAGGTTCGATTCCCAGTCAGGGTACAAGCCTGGGTTGCAGGCCATGACCCCCGGCAACCGCATATTGATGTTTCTCTCTCTCTCTTTCTCCCTCCCTTCCCTCTCTAAAAATAAATAAATACAATCTTAAAAAAAAAGGAACTGTCATTAAAAAGTGACCAAATGAATTTAGGCAAAGTTGTGTGGAAGACCACACGGCCTTCCCACCTGCAGCAGCCATTTCATTTCAGTGAATATCTATCTTGTTTGAATTCACGTTGGTCCTATACCAGCTGTACAACTTCATTTCTTGTTCTAGGCACCCGGTGCCTGCTATACAGCTGAAAAGAAACTTGGAGAACACAAATGGACTTTTCTGAAACTCAATTTGGTTGGAGCTAAGGTTTTCTGACTCCCCAGAAAGAACTGCCCAGTTTATTTTTGTGTGTGTGTCAGGATTTAAAATTGTTCTGTATTTGCTGTGTCAAACAAATAACCACACCTACCTCCTCAAAACAGTCATGTATTTAAGCCCCATAACTTTAGCCTTGAAATCTTTCAGTTCTATGGTTTTTAAATTATTTACTTATTTTCAGAGAGAGTGGAAGGAAAGAAGAGGGGGAGAGAAACATCCATTGGTTGCCCATAGCATGGCCCCTACGGGGGACCTGACCCACAACTCAGGCATGTGCCCTAACTGGGAATCAAACTGGCAACCTTCAGGTTCACTGGCCAGCACTCAACCCACTGAGCCACACCAGCCAAGGCTCAGTTCTATGAGTCTTGTTTTTAAATATTTCCTTTCTAACTCCCCCCCCCTTAGAATGTCCTTAGAGTTATTGATCACACCTCATTTCTACTCCTTTCGTACCCAATAGTTCTTACCTTTATAGCCTTATTAGTTCAGGGACCAGTCGGTCTCTCATTTCCTTAATAATATGCCCTATCCTTCAAATCCAACTCCTTCAGGTATTAACTTCTGCTTTAAACAGAAATCACAGGCCTGCCTGCTTGAGCTCTCCTTCAGTTATTCAGTATTTATTGTCTACCAAGTTCCAGGCACTGTTCTAGGTTTTGAAGACTCAACAGTTAATGGAGAAAATGCTAGTCCTCATGGCGTGTATTTATATTCTAGCATTTACAGGAAACAAATAGGAAAAGGAATCACTAAAGCATGTCCTCTTTGAATTAGTGTATTAAATGGGTAACTAGCTGGGTAGTTTTCTGAGGACTCAATGAACAGGTGCTGGCGTATATTTCTATGTGGTGAAAGTGGTTTGTAATCTGCAAAACCGCCCAAATGAAGCCTCCTAACTCTCCGAATACGTGATGGACGCTGTGTTCTCGTTGAACCAGTTACCAATTGGCCTCCTCCTTAAGTCGTACAAGGACCGATGGATTACTAGCATCCTCCAGAGTCAAGAATTTGAGTTGACGCCTTTTTGTCCCACAGCTGGGAACAACGCAGTACAAACCCCAACTCAGCGATTGCCTACATGTGGTCTTGGGACCAAGCTGCATAAAATTTACCCAAGTCATTTAATAAGCAGGCAGGTTATTAGGCCGCCACCCCAGAGTAAGTGAATTAGAATCTCTAGACTGGGGCTTCACAATTTGCGGGCTTAACAAGTTCCCCAAGTGATGCTGGGGATAAACAAATGTTTGAATATCACAAGGATGATGGCTAGACAAGATTGGAGAACACCAGAAACTGAGAAAAGTTCCTGAAAGGCTAAACTCGCGGGAGGTTGGGCGGGGAAGACCAGGGAGGGGAGGCGGAGCTCTTCGGGGTGTTTTCATGGTAACAAAAATCTCTAATTATGCCACATCCTTCACACAAGCAGCGTCCCACCATTGCCGTGGCAACCCGTTCCCAGGGCTGTTCCCGCGTTAACTCCTGCTTTGGACACAGATGCACTCATCCCAGACTGGAGAGAGGCGTTCCTCCAGGCCCGGAAGCTAACACAGCTGTTTCCGCTGCCAGCACCCAAGATGGCGATACAACAGTCGCCACCACCCGAAACACATGCTCTGTACTCTGCCTAGACCCGCCCCCACTCTCGGTCTCACTGGACTTTTGCAAGTCACTGTGGGAACCCTCAAAGGGGTAATCCCGCATTCCGGCGGTGACACCGCCTCCCATCCCCAGCCATAGGCCTTTATTCTCCAGCCGAAGAAAGCACTAGAAGCGCTCAGCCTGCACGCTTTGCTCCGCGCCCACCTTGTAATACCTCCTACGGCCGGCGCATGGCGGAGGGGGCCAGGATGTCGGGGGCGGCAGGGCCTTCGCCCCACTTATTGGTGGGCCCACGCCGTGAGGCGGGCCTACATGCCCATTGGACAGTGGATCATGCCCGTCTTGGGAAATCGGGAAAAGAAGGAGGAGGCACACTCAGCCATTGGGCTCTTTCTGCTGTCAATCAAAGTGACATCCGGCGACGGCCACCGTCTCAGTTCGTTGATTGGAGGAACGTGTTGGCCGCAGAGGGTGGGCTTCCGAGTGAGGTGGGAGGAGGGGGCGGGGAGGGAAGCGGAGGCTCGGGAGCTCTAGGCCGGCCGGCGGCGGCAAGGCCGGGACTCGGTTTGAGGACCTGCTGTGGCGGCAGCGGCGGACGCCGAGCTCAGCAGCGGGTATCCGACACAGTCCTTTCCCTGACGGGTGGCGCGCAGCGTCGCGGGGCCGAGGGTTAGGGGCTGAAGGGCGGCGGGGTGGAGCTGAGGGGCAGGAGGCGGGAGCGGGCGGCCGAGCAGGGTTCGCGTCGGGGCCGAGCCCTGGGCCTGTCGGGGAGGGGCCGGGAGTCCGAGGAGACTGCGGGCTCCCGGGTGGGTTGGACTGGGGAGGGCTGAGAGCGCGAGAAGGCGTGGTGGTAGGCCCGGGCTTGGGCGCGGGGTGGGGCCACAGCGCAGGGCGGGATGGGGTTTGGCCGTAAGGGTGGGTCACGGCCAGGAAAGTAGCACTTGTTCGTTGCTGCCCCAGAAGGCTGGAAGCCGAGGACCCGAGAGCGGGCATGGCGACTTGGTCTCAGGCGGACTCTGGTATCCGGGACAGGGTGGGACCGGGCTTAGATCAGAGGCCTTTAGCCTTAACTTGATCTTTAAGGGATCTTGTTCGGTTTCTCGAACTTAATTGGCTCTTGATAGTAATAAATTGCGTGAGAACGGGCAGGCAGTGTAAGCTGAGACTCTGGGTCGCAATTGTGTTTACTCTAACCAAGTAAGCGTGCGTGTGTGTGTGTGTGTGTGTGTGTGTAGGTAGGTGTAGATCCCTATTATCCCTTAGGATGAATTTGGTAGGTGGATCACAACAGTGAAGAGAGCTGTGTCTTGCTTTAAAAGGTTAATTGAAACTCAAAAGTCGAGACCAGAAACTGAAAGACAAGCAAATTTATTACCTCCCCACTTGGCTATCTGGGTTGAGAACTTCGCCATATCCTTCTGTTTTGGCTCAGAAGGTCATGTGAATGAAAATAAAACCTGTCTGTTCAAATGCTGGACCGAAAAATACTGGCTCAACTCCCCCTCCCATATTCCTCTTCGGATACCCTCTCCTGCCTTTTTTTTTTTTTTTTAAATGTGAGGATGATGGGAAAGGGAAATCAGATTTCAAAGTCGAGAAAACAAAAGGCGTTATCCTTCTCTGCAGAGTGGTGACCTGAACGGAGTACGGCCGTTTACACTCTCATCCATTAATAACCTCTTCCTTCCCTGTAGAACTGTGAAGGGGCAGAACTTGTAGGTAGTTTTCTCCTGAGAGCTGGACAACCAACTTTCCTTTAAGATAGGAAATGGACTTCTCATGCTAAAAATAGAAGCTGGGTAGTGGTGTGTGGGGTAGAGGGGAGGGTTGGTCAATCCGACAGCATGTAAACTATTCTGGATGTCCAGGCAGCGTCTGACTTGTCCCCAGCAAGCTGCGTGTTAGGGTGTTGCAGATTTCATATTCAGAAACGGGATCCTTTGATCCTTCGTGAGCAGTACTTCCTTTTATAGTTGTTTTGTCTATAAAAGGTTTTTGCTTTTCAGGGAGTATAATAATTGACTTGTTTTTTCACTCCTGTAAAAGTGGCTGTATAATGTATGTCCTACCTTCTGCCTTGATCCTGGTGTGAAAATTCTGGAACCTTATCCTGGTGCTCTCGTGATTGTCATTTCAGGTTTCTCTGGAAACCCCCCTGGTAAGTGTGGAGGAGGCGGGACACTCTGACCCAAGACAAAAGGCCGGTACCTCCAGCCAAAGAAAATAAACCTTAGGAGAGAGAAGGAAAAACAAAACAAAACAAAACAAAAACCCATCGGCTGTTCCAGAGAACAGCCTGCAGTGGAATCAACAGCGAGGACGACTGACGTGAGTGGGGAAGTGACTGTATGTGGACTGTGGAGAAAGTAAGTCACGTGGGCCCCGAGGGCCTGGACTGGGTGAGGAGCAGCCGTGCTTGCAGAGGTGAGGTGTCGCGAAGGGAGAAGTGAATGTGGTCTGGAGTGTGGCCTTGGCTCCACGGGGTGTGCGTTCCTCCGAGGCCGTCAGGGAGCTCAGCCCCCGTGTTCCGCCGGGGCGGGGTACAGGGTTTGGCACCGAGGGGGGTAACTTGCTGGCTGGAGCAGCAGAACAGTGGCCTTGATTTGTCTTTTGGAAGATTTAAAAACCAAAAAGCATAAACATTGTGGTTCTTCAGCAATGCTTTCTCTGAAGAAATACTTAACGGAAGGACTCCTCCAGTTCACCATTCTGCTGAGTTTGATTGGGGTGCGGGTGGACGTGGATACTTACCTGACCTCACAGCTCCCCCCGCTCCGGGAGATCATCCTGGGGCCCAGTTCCGCCTACACTCAGACCCAGTTCCACAACCTGAGGAACACCTTGGATGGCTATGGTATCCACCCCAAGAGCATAGACCTGGACAATTACTTCACCGCCCGGCGGCTCCTCAGTCAGGTGAGGGCCTTGGACAGGTTCCAGGTGCCGACCACTGAGGTGAACGCCTGGCTGGTCCACCGGGACCCGGAGGGGTCTGTCTCTGGCAGCCAGCCCAGCTCAGGCCTTGCGCTCGAGAGTTCCAGTGGCCTCCAAGATGTGACAGGCCCCGACAACGGGGTGCGAGAAAGCGAATCGGAGCAGGGATTCAGTGAAGATTTGGAGGATTTGGGGGCTGTAGCCCCTCCAGTCAGTGGAGACTTAACCAAAGAGGTTAGTGGCCACGTGGAGGGGTCGGGAGGGGGGAGGGGTCCGGTTGGGCGTGCCGGTGGGTTGGTGCTGGAGAGCTGTGGCGGTCACAGCACTGACCCCTGTAAAGAACCAGAGAGGTTCTGGTGTGTGTGTGTGTGTGTTGGGGGGGGGGTCTCAGACATCGTTCTTGGGTAGAAATGGGCTGAATTGTCTGACGGGGACTGGGGGCTGGAAGCATTTCCTGTGTTGAACCGTTGGCCCACCTCTGAACGTGCTGTCAGGGCGGTGGGAGGTTCTCAGAACATGCCAGTGTGTTCACTGCTCAGATTTCAACATGCCTTCTGGAGGCCTGGGGTGGGGGAGGGAGTCACGTTGTGATGGGCTCCGGCGCGGTGTGTATCTGTTGCTAAGATGCAAATACTTTGTGGACTCTTGCCTTCTGCCTCCCCCCACATCCAAAGCATACTTATCCTGAAGTTCTCCTTTGTGGTTAGTCTCCTTGTTTTAAGGTCCTGATAAGTACTGTCCTGGGCCTGAGCCAAAGGGTAGATTTAGATAGTTATTCTCGGTGCAGTGAGGATCAAGGCTCCATCTTTGCTAAGGCCCCCTGCAGGGAGGAGGAAGGTGAGGCCTGGGAGCTAGAAGAGGAACTGTGTTCTGCGACCTAAATCAGCTTGCTTGGAGCTGTCAGACCATTGGCTCCTGACATGTGGTTGACACACTGTTCTGGGCAGAAAGTGATGCAGATGCCTTTAACGATAGTAATGGCTACTGCTGCGCCTGCCCTACCACCGTGATGATAAGATGGCTTTGAACTCTTACGTTTGGGTCTGGTTTGCCTCTCAGCTCTAAGGAGCTTTAAAGAATGCCCACTGCAGTCTCCTGGCCATTAGGGAAAGAGAATATGAGGTTGCACTGGGTTGGGCTTCCCAGAACCGAGTTTTGGGCATTGGGGTTGGGGAGAGGGGATGTAAAAAGTGTTGGAGACGGTGAACTTGCCTTTTTCTGCCCACCAGTCAGACCAGGTTTTGCCTTCAAGAGTTCTGCCCTTGAGCCTGTTCCTGAGCTCAGTTCTCTGAATGGTAGTGACTGTCAAAACATATGGCTTCCTCTGGGCCAGAGGTCTAAACTGGGGGGATTTTGCTCCCCAGGGGACATGTGGCAGTGTCTAGAGACAGTTTTGGTTGTTACAACTGAGGCAGTGCTGTTGGCATCTAGTGGGGAGAGGCCAGGGATGCTGCTAAACTTCCTAAAAAGCACAAGACAGTCCCCAAATGCCAGTAGTGCCGGGGCTCCGCTGGCTCACACTGGTCTACTTTGAGAGAGACTATAGTGGTCTGAGCATGGGAATGCGTCTTTCCTTAGATCTTACAGTGCCGCTGGGAACTTGGACCTCTCTTCCGCTTCCTCTGTCCTTTCCCTTCAGGTGGACTCCAGCCTTGGTCCACAGTGGTCTGAAGAAGTAGGCCTCCCAGCCTCCTGTTCGGTCCTCCTGCTGCACTGTAGCTCCCCCAGGGGTGGGTGTGACCGGGCTTGCTCTTGGGAACCCTGTAGGGTAGCTCCATTCCCCTTCCTGCCGGAGCCCTCCTGGGATGGCACGTTTGGGTTGTGACGTGCACGGGCGGACTTTTCACCCTGCTTTCCTCCGTTTCTTGGCCTTCACGATGGTTATGTTTTCCCTGACACCAGGCCTTCCCTGCTCCCTTGGGGGGCTGGTGGAGGGTCAGCATTAGGGGCCCAGGTTGGGCATGGGGCAAGGGAGGACTATTATGTGTCCAAAACATTCCCTCAGCAACTCATGGATAAAAATACCCAGGTCTAGAGCATGTGACAGGCGTCACTGGAGCTGGTATTTCCCTGGGTGGCAGCGCTCCCCTGCTGTCAGGCCTGCTCGATGGACAGCCATCGCCCAGGCCCTTGTCAGGGATAGGATTCCCCTCGAGGCTGGCACTCTGCCCAGAGCGAGGTGGCCGGTGTACAGCTCTTTCCAGGCGAGGAGCGGCCTGTGACCAGGGGAACGGACTGTCCCTGAGCTGACCTTAGGCTCTAGGGGAGCAGCAGTGAGGAGGGGAGTCAGAGCTGTGATCTGATTTGTGTCAGGGGCTTCTTTCCTGCTCTCAGAGATGTGGGCCAGGGGCCAGGCAGCCATGCTCCAGGACAGAGCAAGGGTAAAGAGAGTGAGGGGTGCTTGTGGCCCGGCCCTTGGTGTTCCAGAACACCTGCCTACCTCAGAGCTAGCTAGCCTTCAGGCTCGTGTCTTCCTCCTCCTGCCTGGGGCTGGGGCTGGGGCTGGGGCTGGTCAGCACTGTGACATTGCTGCACATGTGCAAGTAGCGTTTTCCCTTCCTCTGGTTCGGCCCGTTGCGGGGCGACAAAGCCACTGGCTGGGTCTGGGTGTACTGGGTTCTCCTGCCCAGCCTGGCGTGTGATCCTCAGGCTGGAGGACGACTGGCCACAGCCCTTGTGAGGAACCGGAAAAGAAACTCCTTCCACTTCCAGGGAACAACTTGAATTCCCGCAGAAGCTTTCAGGAGGAGTGTCTGCCCAGTCCTGAGTGGGTTGGGGAAGCTGGATGCGACTGGAGGGAGAGTGGCACCCCTTCCCCCCAGGGCTCTCACTGCGCCACCCCCGCTGGCTGACTGGGCTGGGTGGGGCTGCCCGCCCCTGGGTGCGTCTCCTTGAGGAGACGGAGGCGGCTCAGAGATGGGCTGGTTCCTTGCGGCAGCTTCTCCAGCTGCCCTGGTGCAGAGATTGGCTACCGGCTGCAGCTAGGTAACAGGCGGTGGGAGGGGATTGGCTCTTTCCGCATCTCCAGCGGAGACTTGGGGGAGGAGATTGGCTCTCGTCGCATCCTAGGTAACGACAGTGGGAGGGGATTGGCTCTTTCCGCAGCCCAGCTGCTGACCTGGGGGAGGGGATTGGTTCTCTGCAGCCTCAGCAGTGACCTGCGGGGTGGGAGGGGGAGGGGATTGGCTCCTTGCTGCAGCCTAGGTAACAAGTTTGGGGGGCGTGGGGAGGGGGAGAGAGGGAGGAGTGGGAGGATAGGCCCAGGAGGGAGCTCGCTTTCCTCTGCAGCCTGAGCACGGAGCATGGGGTGGGAGTCCCATCTCACTGCAGCCTCTGCGGTGAGCTCAGGGTGGGGGCTGCCGGGTGCCTGAGTGGAACTGGGGTTGTGAGGTGGGAGGGGGCTACTCAAGGATGGAGGAAGAGGGCTGGGCTGGGCCGCCCAGGCAGCAGTACGGGCGGGGCACCTCCTCAGGCCCCTCGGAGCTAGCTCGGGGCCACCCTTCCAGCCTGGTGTGCTCCCTGCAAGCCAAGAGCTCCTTGCAGCCCCCTGTCCGGCTTCCCCGCACCGGCTGCCCCGGGGCTCATCTCGGAGACCATGACCCGCCTGGACCGCAGCTCTCACAGTGGTGGGGGCCCTGCCAAAGGGAGCAGACCCCTTAACTCTTTGCTGGCTGGTCACCGGGTGGCCCAGCCCCCCTCTGCTTCTGGGTCCAGGGCTTCTGTTCAGGTTGGTGTATGTGGGGAGACCAGAGGGAAAGGTACACGTGGTGGGAGGTCTCAGGATCCGGGAGGGTTGTGGTGGGGAAGGGTACTTGGTCAGGGCTAGGGGAGGTGGGTCTCATCTGTGGATACTGCTTTCTGAAAAGTGCCGGCTTTTTAACCTCTGAGTGGAAGGCAACAGTGTAGTGTTTCTTTAGCCATAGGGGGTGGCGTGTGTAAAAAAAGCCTGAATAGCTCTTATTTATTGGGGTTCTATGCTGGTGGCAATGGGGGTGGCAGTTGGTGCAGGAACTTTCAGATCCACCAGGGTAGGGCAGAAGGGAGGCGTTTTGGTACCTGAGGCAGCAGTTGCGGCCAAGTGGTGATGGGGGCTGTGTCCTTGAGTGGATTGACTGATGGGGAGTGAGCCCTGGGGTGTGGTAAGGAAGTGAGAGCTCTGGTGGAAGGGGGCACCTCCGAGCAGGCCTTGGCAGGGGTGGGGTGCCCAGTGAGAATCAGCTGACTGCTTGAAGCTCTCCTGGGATCAGCAGCTTGCTAGGATCAGCTGAGAGTGGGGGTTCTGGCAGGGATGGATCTTGAGGTGAGCCTGGGCTTTAGGAGTTGTGGGTGTTCAGCCTTACTCCTGCCTTAGCCAGGGAAGGGGGAATGACTTTAGGAAGGGCTGGAGACAGCCAGTCGTTGTCATTGGTTGCATCAGGTGGTTGCAAATGCAGGGATTTTCCTCTCTAGCCCACCCCACCCCTTTATGCAAATGAAATGGCACCACAGGCTGATGCAAGCCTGGCCACCACAAAGCAATTCTGCATGACAATTCACCTTTGCTTGCTGTGGCCAGCTTCCTACAAACCATGTTTTAAGGGATTCCCATTTCCCCAGTGATTAATGTCTGAACTTGCCCTTTCCTCCTCAGAGGAGGTGGCTCTACCTTTTGGCTGGGCTGTTTCTGGTTCAGTTCCTCAGCCCACAGACCTCCTGGGGTGTTTTGGAAGCTGGTGTCTGAAAGTGGATAGATGGAGCCTTGCTGGCACAGAGTGGCAGGGAGTAGAGTCTGGGAGGGAACAATGGGAGTGATGCTAGGAAGGACCTCTGAGAAGCAGGGCAGGGAGGGAGGGAGGGGCCGCTGGACCAGCGGGCTAAAGTCATGGTGATCTGTCTTTCAGGACATAGATCTGATTGACATCCTTTGGCGACAGGATATTGACCTGGGGGCTGGGCGTGAGGTTTTTGACTATAGTCATCGCCAGAAAGAGCAGGATGTGGATAAGGAACTGCAAGATGGAGCGGAGCAGGAGGACACCTGGCCAGGCGAGGGCGCAGAAGTTCTGGCACGAAACCTGCTAGTGGATGGAGAAACTGGGGAGAGCTTCCCTGCCCAGGTACTCTCACCTCTGTTCAGTCCCAGAAACTTCTTAGAGAAGGCAGTCGTGTCCATGGGAGGGACGTGTATGTATATTTTGGGCTGGGGTCTCCAGGTCAGTCCCAGTGAATGGACTGAGAAAGGAGGAGTGGATGAGCAGAACGGAACAGAGGGGCCAGGCCTTAGCAACAAACAGTCCAGAGGAGGCAGAGCACCTAGCAGACCCTACCACCGTCAAGGCTCCTCCACCCTCTTGTTCTCCCCTAGAGTTGGGGACCTAGGGTTAGTCACTGGCCCAGGAGTGGAGGGAGAGCGCAGACACAGACACAGGTCCTCGGTCCGCAGCGCCTTGGGGAAGCTGAGGAAGAGGCTTCAAGCCTGCAGGCAGCCAAAGCCCAGATGAGTCAGACTTACAGTTGCTGTTGCCACAGGTGCCTGGTGGGGAGGACCAGACAGCCCTGTCCCTGGAAGAGTGCCTTAGGCTGCTGGAGGCCACCTGCCCCTTTGGGGAGAATGCTGAGGTGAGCAGGACTCCAGGAAGAGCCCCCAAGCCAGCAGGGCACACGGAGTTCCTCTGTGGGTGCCTGGGGGCCGACTCTTGGTGCTGCTGGCCTTGTCCTGGCTGCTGGGGGTGAATCAGAGGAAGGAAGGAACAGAGCCTCAGGTGGCAGTCTTTGGGAGGAAAGCAGAAGGCTGGTCTTGCCTTCTTTCTCTGTTAAAGCTTCTGTGTTTTGCTCTAGTTTCCAGCAGACATTTCCAGCTTAACAGAAGCAGTGCCTAGTGAGAGTGAGCCCCCAGGTCTTCAGAACAACCTCTTGTCTCCTCTCCTGACGGGGACAGAGTCACCGTTTGATTTGGAACAGCAGTGGCAAGATCTCATGTCCATCATGGAAATGCAGGTAGGACTATCAGAACAGGGCACGAATCTACCGGACTTTGTGGTGTCTTAGCACTCAGTTGCTTTCCCCCCGTGGAAGAGAAAGCCTACCATCTCTACCTAATCCATAGGAAAGTGGGGACACCGAGAGGCAACTGTCTAGGTGTCTCCCTGGGCCAGTAGGGGGAAGTCAGGAGTAGGGTTTGGGTGAAAACCCCAGGGCTTGAGCCCTTTGGAGTGGGCCTGCCTCCGAGGCATGCCGTCTTTCCCTTCAAGCAGACAGCCACTTGGCTGGGTGCTCCCAAGGGCCAGGGTGAGTAAAAGCTGCCATCCGAGCAGGGCTTCACAGCCACCGTCATCTCATTTGGCTCTCGAAGTCATCTAGTGAGCCCTTTATCACCTTAAAGGTGCAGAAATGGAAGCTCAGAGAGGTTGAGAGAGATGCCCATGGTCATAGAGCAAGTAGTGTAGCTAGGTGTTCGCACTCCAAGGCTTGGTTTTCTTTTTACTGTGCTGATTTTGCAGTGAAACGGTAGTCATTGTGAGGTGTTTTCTTGAGTCTCCTTCCAAAATGAGGAAGAGTGTGGCCAAATACGAGCTGGTCAGTCCCGCACTGGGGTGGAGTACATGGGGAGGAACCCATCTCTGCCCAGCCTAGTGGAGGGACCGGGGCCAGGAGCTGATGCTCTGGTCTTCATACCCATGCGATTGTGTCTGTGCTGGGTGCCTGCTAGTGTTAGCCCCCAGCCTCACCTGGGGAGGGAGTCTGCACTGAGTGAAGGGTGACACTCTTCTTCCCTCCCAGGCCATGGAAGTCAACACATCAACCAGTGAGATCCTGTACAATGCCCCTCCTGGAGACCCACTGAGCACCAACTACAGCCTTGCCCCCAACACTCCCATCAATCAGAATGTCAGCCTGCATCAGGCGTCTCTGGGAGGCTGCAGCCAGGACTTCCCGATCTTCAGCCCCGAGGTGGAGAACCTGCCTGTGGCCAGCAGCTCCACTTTGCTCCCACTGGTCCCCAGTAATTCCACCAGCCTCAACTCCACCTTTGGCTCTACCAACCTGGCAGGTCTCTTCTTTCCGCCCCAGCTCAATGGCACAGCCAATGACACCGTAGGCCCCGACCTGCCTGACCCACTTGGGGGTCTGTTAGATGAAGCCATGCTGGATGAGATCAGCCTGATGGACCTGGCCATAGAGGAAGGCTTTAACTCCGTGCAGGCCTCCCAGCTTGAAGAGGAATTTGACTCTGACTCAGGCCTCTCCTTGGACTCCAGCCATAGCCCTTCCTCTCTGAGCAGCTCTGAAGGCAGTTCTTCTTCCTCCTCTTCCTCTTCCTCCTCCTCCTCTGCTTCTTCCTCAGCCTCTTCCTCCTTTTCTGAGGAAGGTGCTGTCGGCTACAGCTCTGACTCTGAAACTCTGGATCTGGAAGAGGCAGAGGGCGCTGTGGGCTACCAGCCTGAGTATTCCAAGTTCTGCCGCATGAGCTACCAGGATCCGTCTCAGCTCTCCTGCCTGCCCTACTTGGAGCACGTGGGCCACAACCACACGTACAACATGGCACCCAGTGCCCTTGACTCCGCTGACCTGCCACCACCCAGCACTCTCAAGAAGGGCAGCAAGGAGAAGCAGGCCGACTTCCTAGACAAGCAGATGAGCCGGGACGAGCACCGAGCCCGAGCCATGAAGATCCCCTTCACCAATGACAAGATCATCAACCTGCCTGTGGAGGAATTCAATGAGCTGCTGTCCAAATACCAGCTCAGCGAAGCCCAGCTGAGCCTCATCCGGGACATCCGGCGCCGGGGCAAGAACAAGATGGCAGCACAGAACTGCCGCAAGCGCAAGCTGGACACCATCCTGAACCTGGAGCGGGATGTGGAGGACCTGCAGCGCGATAAAGCCCGACTGCTGCGGGAGAAGGTGGAGTTCCTCCGGTCCCTGCGGCAGATGAAGCAGAAGGTCCAGAGCCTGTACCAGGAGGTGTTTGGGCGGCTGCGAGATGAGAACGGGCGACCTTACTCACCCAGTCAGTATGCTCTCCAGTATGCCGGGGATGGCAGTGTCCTCCTCATTCCCCGCACCCTGGCTGACCAGCAGGCCCGGCGACAGGAGAGGAAGCCAAAGGACCGGAGAAAGTGAGCCTGGGGTGGAAGGGGGGTTGACGCTCACCAAGATTGAAACTGGAGAAGGGCTGGGCCTGGACCTGGACCTACAGCAGGGGGACTTGAATGCCTTCTTATCCAATAGATCTTCTCAGATGGGATGACTGTCGGTCAGTGGAAGAGGCGGGCGCAGGTGCTGTCTGGCTCAGCTTCCCCCACTGGGGAGAGTGGAAATAGCCAGACTGTTTGGGTGGACAGGGTCCTCACTCATCCCCCTTTCATTTGAGGGAAGGGGCAGGGTGGTGATGGCAGTGATGGAGGCTGACAAAGGGAAAGGAAGGGACTTGTGAAAGGAGACAAAGGTAGTAGAAAGTCTCATTCTAGGAAGAGGAAGGAAAGAAACCAAAAAAAAAAAAAAAAAAAAAATCAAAGCTTGAAGAAAAAAGTGCAGGTTAAGATTGAATCTGACCAGGATTCCAGGCAGCAGGTTTTAGGTGGGACTAGGTCATTGGTGTGAGTAAACCCCACTTCACCCCAGGGGAGGGGTGGAACAGACAGGGTGGGTTCTGGGAGGGGCTTTGTGAACTCTTTCTGCTCCCACACTTTGGCATCCCTGAAGGGGAGGCTCTTCGATATCTCCTTGAATGTTTCAGTGCTGGGGAGCCACTGGGACCCGATACTAGCTAGCTTGGAGAAGGTTAGGGTTAAAGGGTGGGGCGAACAGGAGAGGATCACAAGGCCCAGTGTTGCAGGAGCCCCAACACCAAGCATGCCACTCACTGCCCTGCCACTCCATCTCCCTTGGTGCCCAGTCACCCCTGAGCTGAGGCTCCCACAACTCCATCAGAACCTGCATGCAAATGCTGTTCTCTTCCTGGCCCCTCACTAGCTGCCCAGAGCTCTTCCGCAGCTGGGGTGCTGGCAGTGCCCCCAGTGATGGGCCTGCAGCCTCTTGGGGGCTGTTTTGAGGCAGGGGGACGATGTGGAGAAGCCAGGCAGTATTCAGCACAATACTGAGGAGTGACCCCCTCAGGTCTCCCACCAACAACTGGGCTTGTCACTGGAAAAGACAAACTACAAAACCCAGCAACAACAAAACTAGTCCTCTTAGAGTTTCCTGCGCTTTTTTTTTTCCCCTAAGGGCTTTGAGCCCTGTTTCACTTATAGGGTCTAGAATGCTTGTGTTGAGTAACAAGGAGATACCCCAATATTCAAAGCTGCTAAATGTTCTCTTTGCCATAAAGACTCCGTGTAACTGTGTGAACATTTGGGATTTTTCTCCTCCATCCCGAGGTCTCCGTCTGCTTTCTTTTTTGGGTGTCTTCCTAGGAGAATGAGAAGTGCATGTAATGGCGGTTGAGAGCACCTTCCCCCACCCCAGGCTCTTGGCTACAGGCGGCTTGTCAGCACCCCCAGCTCAGCTAGGGCTCCTGGAGGACTGCCTGGGGGAGGCAGAGAGGGAAGTGCCAAGGTGGCCATATGGTTCCAGGACCAGTGTCTTTATTTTTTAAAATGTCTGCTACTGCTGCCCCCCGCATCCATTTGGAATAACAGGAATGCTTTGAGTGGGGGAAGTGCCGAGTCTCCCCATTTGGAGTGGGGCGGGCAACACATTAACTGAGCAGTAGGAGCCTGGGAAGTGCTTTTATAAATTATTTTCCTTGTAGATTTTATTTTTAATTTATCTGTGACCTGCCAGGGAGGGGAGAGAAGAGAGAGGAGGTTGTGAACACAAGACAAAATAAAATAAAATGGATGATTCATTCTCAAGTGCAGTTTTTCCCTATCTTGGAATTAAACAGTGAATAGGCCTCACAAGCGCTGGCCATTGTGTGATTGAGGCAGAGCTCACACCAGAAAGGGAGAGGCTGATGAGTTAAGTAAGACAAAATAGTCTTAACTGCTGTATTGGTAAGCCTTCCACGCAGGTGTTACGTACCTCTACAGGGTTTGCCAGCTCTGACCTCTCGGAGGAAGGATTCAGACTCCTTTTGGTCTTTCTCATAGGGTAGGCTAGGTGGAGCTGGTGTCACCTGGCCCAGCTCTGTATTTCCTGTCCACCTGTAACAGACTGCATTTATCTTGACTATGCTGTTACTTCTCGGGTGGCCCCACCTGCCAGAGAGCTGCAGAGCACTGGAATGTAGTCACACTGACAACTGTGATGTGAAAACCTGAGAATCAACAGGACCAACACATGCCAGGTGCTTCTGTTGAAGAGAGTAAGGCCATAGGGCTTGAGAAACAGGAAGCCAGACTCCAGGTTTTGAGGCATCGGAAAACCCCAGCTGAGGTGACCAGAACCTGTCCTCCCTCCAAAACACTGGACAATACCAAGCCTTTGACGTGTTGAATGTGACAAGGTACTGGGTGGTTTCTGGAACTGCCACATGCCCATCTTGAGGTAGGTAGCAAATGCCTGAGGAATGATGGCTCACTGGCAGTCTGAGATGCTCGGACAAGGTTTACGACCAGAAGCTGTGATCTTGAGTTCCCCTGTACCACTGTGTGACCTGGCTCGGCCTCGTCCTTCAGTGATGCTGCGAGTTTATCCTAAGGAATGGAATAAAATTCCGGGAGTAACGTTGATTTCTTAAATTTGTTTCAGTTTATAATGGTTTTCCCCTCATCTCTAGTTGGAAAGATTTGGTCATATAAACAAGCTCTTCCCTAATTAGAAATTAGTATTTGTCAGCCAGATAAAACCAAGACTCTTAAAGGAAAAAAAGACTATAAAAATGTTTGAAAAACTGACTTGTTGATAAAAAACAAATTATATATATATATGAGTAAACTGACAAAATTCAGAGAGTAATACTTTTTTATCCCTTCTAGAACTGTGTAGGTACTTGGGTCTGTTTCATATAGTATTAGGCTATAAATTTTATCTTTTGCAACTTACATTTTTTAGCTTATTTGATGTAAAGATTTTTCAAGGGAAAAACCCTCCCTCACCCCCTTTGCTAGAGTTGCCTCTGCTCTTGAAGTATTTTGTCACGCCCCTCTCCCATGTCCCCTTGTGGAGACATGCACCGTTGTGTCTGAGATCACACTGCTGATTAGCTGGGGCTGTGAGCCAAGTTGGTCAGCACTGCTGTGGGGCTGACCTCTTTTGCTGCTGGCAGGTGGAGTTGGTGTTCAGCTTCAAGGTTTTTTCTGGCAGGGAGATATGAGGACTCAAGTAAGGTCTGTGAAAGAGCTGTTACACCTAAGACAGGAAGTGAGAAGAGATTGTAGGGTTGGCAAGGAGATGAACAGACTTCGATCCTTAACTAAGGACCAAACTTCAGCATGACCTGCTAGGGTGGGGATAGGAGGTTTGCTTTGTCTTGACCTCAGCAGTTCTGGGCGTCATTCAAATCAATTTTCCATACATCTTAATTCATGCAAGAAGATGAAAAGAGACCCATTGTTTCAACATCTGCCCTGCACAGAACTCATCAATGAAGGGGGTGGGGGGAGCGCTATAGTGATCTAGAGCCAACGTCTGCAAGACCTGGCCTCGGAGGGTGACTCCCTGCCCTCACTAGGGAAAACTAGAAACAAACTAGTCAAACAGCTGGCAGTCTGGCAGGTACTTTCCAAAGAACCTGTCATCTTCAGGGTACCTTAGTCCCCACTTTCACAACCCCAGGTTACATCAGACCTTGCTGCTCTACAGGTTCCTTTTGCAAATAGCTGGAAAAACAAGTGTCTTGCAGGCAAAACAACAGCCCCACCACCCTCCCGGTCATCTACGTCATACCCAGTAGGCACTGACCTAGAGCAACAACGTAGAAGCTCAAACAGTAGTTTCAAAGGCACATCCAACCAGAAGTTAAATCCCTTAACCTAATTTCGTTAATTAATGCTATCTATACACAAATACAAGTACCAGACTGGTGTCTCTCTGGAAGTCCTTTTCCCAGCCAAGTGTAGAAATTTTCTAGCAAAACCCATGTGCTTGACTGGTTATTGTTAAGTGGTTAAGCCCTATTTTAGTACCATGAATTCACCCGGGAAGTGGATAAGGACCCAAAGACCCCTGACTTGACCTTTTGTCAGTGTACCAAGAACAGTAACTCTCACCTTTCTTCTCACACAGAGGTCCATGATCCTCCTTGCCTCTAGTTCTGACTTCATCGTGGAACATGCAGGGACTCTGGGGAATACATGGGACTTTAACATCTGATTGGAGTTCTAGTCCTTGTTCTGCCCAGGGATTCTTTGAAAGTTCACATCTGCCTGAATTAGTTGAGAAACAGAACCCAGCGCACAAGTTGTCTCCTGAGGAGAGGATGGGCCTTGCTAAAGAGGTGTGTTTTCAAAACTAGTTGCATAGAAACTCATCTCCCTTTTTTGGTACACAAAAATACCAGTGACAGTCTTCAAGTTGGTTCTTTTCCAGTCTAACTTTAACTACAGACTGGAAGAGAGAGGCTGCACAGTATCTGTTACTTCATTCCAGATGCTATTTCATCCAAGGAAACAAAACCTGGTTCAGTTCACATGGGGAGACGTGGAAGAAGACCAGAGTTGGTGCTCTGCCCTGTCCCAGAGCCAGGCCCCAGAGCTGCCCAGCTTGACCCCAGGCTATGCAAACTGTAAACAGGGCAGGACTGGTCAAAGTCAACTGGACCGAAAAGTCCACGTGGGGCAGAGAGGAGAGTGGCTTTGGTACTGTCACCACTATGCAAACCAACAAGGTCACAGTGCAGACCCAGACCTGCTACTGAGTGTTTTAACACAAGTTATTTAAAATAAAAAAAAAACTATAGAAATGAATTGTCAGCACATACTCTAATTTAATGTTTCAACTTTACCTTGAAGCTCTGCCACATCAATGGCCTAAGGGGGAAAAAAGCCTTAGACACAGATTACAGTTGACCTTTGAACAATGTGCTTGAATCACACAGGTCCACATATGTGGATTTTTAAAAATAAATACTGTAATTGTATTTCCATTTATGATTTCAAAAATAACATTTTTTCCCCTTTAAGAATATATATAGTATGTAACACATAGTACATTTTATAGTACTTAAAAATGTGTTACTTGACTGTTAGTAGTATTGGTAAGCCACCTTCTGGTCAACAGCAGGCTACTGACCTACTGTTTTTCAGTAGACGGGTTACTTGTGGATTTCAACTGCGTGGGGTAGGGGTATCAGTGCCCCAACCCCCGTGTTGTTCAAGGGTCAACTAACTGTCCTACTCTACTTGCTGTCACAGAGCAGAGCCAACTATACTTTTCATCCCTGCAGATGGTTTCATTTCAGATTTCATTTGCTTTCAACGTTTAGCAGGAAGCTCTCAAGGCCAAGGTCAATTAAAAGTCATTCATAAAAGGGATGAGCAACTCGAACACATTGGCTAGGAGAGCAGTAACTTTTGGAGAAAACCTCAATGCTGGATAGTCAAACCAAGGGTAATGTACATACAGATCAGGGAATGAAGGTTGTCTGGGGATCTTTTAAGCTCCTCTATCAAACTTCCTCATCCACACACCAGAACACCAGGACGCCTCTGGTGAAGCCAACTCCTTCCTTTACTAAGCTGAATGCTGGCCTGGTAGTGATTCTAGTACTTAAATTCTAGAGGAGGGAAAACACTGAGTCTGGACTTAATTCAGTCCTATTAGGTCTAAATTTTTAAGTGAGAATATCTTCATAAAAAGATCCAACTTGCAGATCAAACTAATACTAATACCAATCAAATAACCTAATCGGATTAATTTGATCTCAAACAGAATCCAGCTCCACACATAATTCAGGATCTGGAGCCATTGCCGAAAATTTGCATTTCAGAGTTCCAGTTCCACCAAATTATTTTGTAAATGGGCTGCCAAAACAAGCACGCTACCAAATCATTTTGGAGTAGCAATTTCCTCTATCATTTTCCCTTCCTGTTTGAAGGAAGTGATTACTTTATAACAGACTCCCAATACCACAGGCCATAGACTACAAAAATGTGCTGAGCACACATGGCCCAACACCAAATGGCCATGGGTTAAAACCAAACTGAGCTGAGTGTGAATGAGTTGTGGCATATAAGATTATATTTGAAAGTAAATACTTAAACACTCAACTATTAAAAATTAGTTAAAATTGGATGTCAAAACTTTCAAATGACACTGAAAAGCAAAAACAATTATTCCAGAGCACTCCTGTGGGCATTACACTGGTCATTTACTGTACTAACTGGAAACTCAGCTGAAGACAGTGGAGGAGCAAGGTGTTTGGTTTTTTTTTTCTTTTTTCTGACTGGCTCTGCCAGTGTAAGACACCACCAATAATGATGCTGTCACCGTATTAGTAAGCTCTTTCTTTTGTAATAGTAACTAAGGCCATAACCTATCTCCTCTTGAACTCCTGGACAAGAGGTCTATGATGATGCAATTTCACCGAAGCCATCCAACAAACATGTTTTGCACTACATAAAGAAATGCTCTCCGCGTGCTTTATGAAAGGGACTTGAGATTTCTTATGCCTATGTGCATTTTTCATTTCTAACATTTCTGCACGTATTTGTGGCTTCAATAATCACATGAGAAAAATTTATTCTTAAACCTTGAATCTAGCCCTGACCAGGTAGGGTAGCGCGGCTGGTTACAGCACTGTCCCGATACGCCAAGGCTGCGGGTCTGAATCCCAGCCAGGGCACATCATGAATCAACCAATGAATGCATGAAGGGGTGGAACGGTAAGCTGATCTCTCTCTCTCAAACCAAGAAAAACAAAAACTTGAATCTAGAAATGTAAAAAACTGGCTTTTAAAGATAAAATTGTGAATATCTCCACTTCAATTTCCATCAAATGCATTATTAATTTCAGTGTCTACCCTGGAGAGAATGATCTGGCCTTACAAGAGTTCAAGAATCCAGATATGACAATGAAGTAGGTTCCAAAGGTGAAGGCTATAACTGAATAGCAGCACATTCTGGACACATACCAAGGTCAAAGGTTAATTTCAGTGCATCTTATTATGATGCACAACAGAACCAGAACACCACTGCCCACTTCACCTCACTCTTTTATCTAGCTACTGACTGCTTGGCTGCTGCCAATTACAAGGACACACTCAGACCTCTGCACAGAAAAAGCCTTCCAACTCCATCATATTTATGTTTCCCCAAACTCCTAGGAAGCTTTTGGAATGGAATAAAGTATCAACATAGCAGTTTACTTAAAACAAATGCGTTGTGCTAAAGAGCAGATCTGAATTATTACACTGATTTGATCTCAGTGGAAATCCCACCTTCCATTTTTATAAATGACCAGAGTCTAGCCCCATTTTGGTTCTAGAATTATAGGCAGAAAGCGACATTAAGGAAATAGATGACATTTTAATTCAATATCAAATCCAAGGCCAAATCCTGAAAATTCTGGGAAGCTGACTTCAGCTAAGGTCACACAAATCTATGAAATACATAAGCTAGGATCTAAACCTAACTCAAAACCCCATGTTTCCAAACACATAGTTTGGAACTGCTATCAGGTCACAGGACGCTAAACAAAAAACCTTTGAGTAATATGAAGACAGAATGATGTGATAATATTTACAGTCTCTGCATCAATATAAATGCTCAATAAATATTTACTCAATTTATGTGGTGAGACCACTCAAAGATTCAGGCCAGGTGCCAGATTCTCAAGCCTCCCGTGTTCAAGAAACAGGAGCATCCGAGTGTGGAAGTTGTTTTCAACAGTGAACCTGTCACACAATAAAAGGCAAGGAGGGCTTCTGGCAAGACTTAAGACAAATCAAGGATTATAAATCTATATAGTTTTATTAAGACAAAAACTGACAGTATGGTATGAAGTTTACATTTAAACAAAGTTTTCACAGAAACCTAACACATGCCTAAAAATTTTACAGTGAAGTTCTAGATGCAGGTCTGGATGATGTCAAGAATTGATGGATCTCATGAGCCAAGACAGCATTTTGGGTTATTAGTTAATTCTTAGGATTAAAAAAGTGTGTGTGTGTGTGTGTGTGTGTGTGTGTGTGTTTAAAGTGAACCACTGCCCCAGTATGAAAGTTTAATCTTCTCCTGAGACCAGGGCTATTGAAATAATCCAACTCTTGAAGCGAGTCAGTGAACTTGTGCTGTCAGTGACTAAACCCTGCCATCAACAGTTTCAGAGTCTAAAGTTCGAAAAACAGAGGCTCCGAGAGTTTTCTACCCTAAGAGCACGGGCCTTCCTCTCAATGCTCACGCCTCCTATGTCACCCTCTTCCCCTCCCCAGATACCTCAGCCAGTAACCTGGATGGAAAAGCTATTATTTGTGGCATCATAACTGGAAAAGAAAGGGTCTTCTTGTCAATTTCAAGAATTAGCACCTCTAAGACAGAATGATCTGCCTATTGTATATGCTCCAGTAAAAGACTTTCCCTTCTCAACCAGTTTCCATCCGTAAAATGGCAGCTTTGGTAACTTATCAACTGGCTTAGTCCTTTGTTGGGAAGAGCATTCAGTTCAGGCAGGGAACACCTTGGCTTGTAAGTTTCAGGCATTCACAGCTTTTAAACAGTCTCTTACAGTCCTCAGTTAGATTGGCAATGACATTTTTTGAAAAGATGAAATATTCTGGACACAGAACCAACTCATTGTTTGTTCTATCCATTGTTTTACCATTTCCCCAACATGGCCCCAAATTTTAACAAAACAATACTACCCATCTTCCTTCCTTCCCGCCCCATCCCTCCCACCCCAAAATAATACACCAGTAATAGTCAAAAACTACACACATGCTACGCTGTAAAAATGCAGTTAACACTATTGGGAAGAAGGCTGTGGGTTGTGGAGATGGTCTTTGAAGATCTACAGTATCTTTCTGCTCTCCCACACACCCATTCTGCAAGTTTTGTCCTTCATAGAAGGCCCTTTGCTTTTCTCGGCACAGCGCAGAATGGGTTGCCTTGAAACACTTATCCTTCTTCCCTTCCACTTGGATGGGTGTGCAAACTATACAGCATGGAACGGCTTTAAAGCACTTGGGCTGCTGTAGGGCACAGAAACTATACTGGCTCTTCAAAGGACATCTTCTCAAGCCACCTCTATGGTGTCAAGACAAGTAGAACTCCTTCCCCTCCCCACTTGAACCCACAGTCAGATGTGACAGGGGCTGGTACTCAGGAGAGTTAATTCTTGTCATCTTTTTTATCATCATCCTCCGAGGGGTAGGAATGCCACGTCAGCCTTTCCTCATAGAAGGATATGACAACCTGGGGGCACTTGACATTGGCTTCCTTGGCTGGGACCAGGTCAGCCTCATCAGAGTTTTTCCTGCAGAACAAAGCACAGAGAGACTTTGAGACCAGGTGCTAGTGGTCTCCCAACTTGGATCATCCAAGAGATAGAGCTTTAAAAATATTAATTCCAGAAGCATAAGCTAAGGAAGGGGACTAACAGGCCCAAGGAGAGCATTTACTGTCAGCTTTTAGTTAAGTGATATCCTTGTAGATCTCCTGTTAAAATCCCCTTCTGGGTTATGTTTGTCCAAAGGTAGGTGATCTAACTCTATCACAGTTTTTGCCAACTCTGGGAAAGGCAAAAAGACTCTTGTATTCTGAGGGAAGAAGAGAGACTAGCACACTCTTTCAAAAGCCAAATACCAGCTGCTAAGAGCCTGTGGAGAGATCTTGGCTTTGCAATACCTTTTCCTACCATGTTGGATATGTTGGATAACATTGAATACCGGTATGACACTGGCCAGAGCCAATGCAGGTGGCCATACAGAGATATGCCACAACTCCCAGGTGCTTTGAAATGGTTCTTCAACATGGTTGGCAGAAAATGAACGGACTATTATGCAATTCTCTATACTCTTCTAAATTATAAAATGTTCTCAAAATTGGAAAATCACATCCATATTACAAGGGACAAAGGACTAAACTCTATCTTCAGGTCACTGGGAATGTCTTAGATAGCAGCAGTAGTGTAGGGCAGGCAGCAGATATATGACAGGATCTCTGACAAGGCATCACTCAAAGGTTCCAGAAAACCAGCAACAGGTAAACCAAAGCCACACAGCAGCACAAAACCAAAGAGTAAGCTGCTGTGGTATAGTTCTGGACAACTGACTCAAGAGAATGGAAGGGAAAGGAGTATAACAATATG